ATGACAGTTATCAGAAGAGTGGACAGACACCTAAAATCAGTACTTGATCAGCCGGGCTGTGGGTCTTACGTCGGTTTACGTACGGCCAGCAGTAACAGCCTGATTGATAAGTCTTTGATCCACGATGAGGCCTGGGCATGGACCGGGCGGCGGGGGCGTTGACCCCCGAAAAGCTCTCCAGGTATACTCCATGTAGCAGCAGCAGTGACGCAGCAGCAGCAGTGATGAAGCAGCAGCAGTGATGCAACAGCAGCAGTGATGCAGCAGCGATGCAGCAGCAGCAGTGATGCAGCAGCGATGCAGCAGCAGCAGTGATGCAGCAGCAGCAGTGATGTAGCACAGCGTGATGAGCAGCAGCAGTGAGCAACAGCAGTAGTGATGCAGCAGCGATGCAGCAGCAGCAGTGATGCAGCAGCGATGCAGCAGCAGCAGTGATGCAGCAGCAGTGATGCAGCAGCAACAGTGATGCAGCAGCAGCAGTGATGCAGCAGCAGCAGTGATGTAGCAACAGCGATGCAGCAGCAGCAGTGATGCAGCGACAACAGTGATGCAGCAGTAGTGATGCAGCAGCAACAGTGATGCAGCAGCAGCAGTGATGCAGCAGCAGCAGCAGTGATGCAGCAGCAGCAGCAGCAGTGATGCAGCAACAGCAGTGATGCAGCAGCAGTGATGCAGCAACAGCAGTGATGCAGCAGCAGTGATGCAGCAACAGCAGTGATGCAGCAGCAGTGATGAAGCAGCAGTGATGCAGCAGCAGCAGCAGTGATGCAGCAGCAACAGCAGTGATGCAGCAACAGTGATGCAGCAGCAACAGCAGTGATGCAGCAACAGTGATGCAGCAGCAGTGATGCAGCAGCATGATGCAGCCAGCAGCAGTGATGCAGCAGCAGCAGCAGTGATGCAGCAGCAGCAGTGATGCAGCAGCAGCAGTGATGCAACAGCAGTGATGCGGCAGCAGTGATGCAGCAGCAGCAGTGATGCAACAGCAGTGATGCGGCAGCAGTGATGCAGCAGCAGCAAGTGATGCAGCAGCAGCAAGTGATGCCAGCAGCATGATGCAGCAGCAGCAACAGCAGTATGATGCAACAGCAGCAGCAGTGATGCAGCAGCAGCAACAGTGATGCAGCAGCAGTGATGCAGCAGCAGCATTGATGCAGCAGCAGCAGCAGTGATGCAGCAGCAGCAGTGATGCAGCAGCAGCAGCAATGATGCAGCAGCAACAGCAGTAGTGATGCAGCAGCAGCAGTGATGCAACAGCAGCAACAGTGATGCAGCAGCAGCAGTGATGCAGCAGCAGCAACAGCAATGCAGCAGCAGCAGTGATGCAGCAGCAGCAACAGTGATGCAGCAGCAGCAGTGATGCAGCAGCAGCAGTGATGCAGCAGCAGTGATGCAGCAGCAGCAGCAGCAGTGATGCAGTAGCAGCAGCAGCAGCAGTGATGCAGCAGCAGCAGCAGTGATTATTATTATTATAATCAAAACGAAGCGCTAAGCCACAAGGGCTATACAGCGAGCAGCATTGATGCAGCAGCAGCAGCAGTGATGCAGCAGCAGCAGCAGTGATGCAGCAGCAGCAGCAGTGATGCAGCAGCAGCAGAAGTGATGCAGCAGCAGCAGTAATGCAGCAGCAGCAGCAGCAGTGATGCAGCAGCAGCAGCAGTGATGCAGCAACAGCAGTGATGCAGCAGCAGTGATGCAGCAACAGCAGTGATGCAGCAGCAGTGATGAAGCAGCAGTGATGCAGCAGCAGCAGTGATGCAGCAGCAACAGCAGTGATGCAGCAACAGTGATGCAGCAGCAGTGATGCAGCAGCAGCAGTGATGCAACAGCAGTGGTGCGGCAGCAGTGATGCAGCAGCAGCAGTGATGCAGCAGCAGCAGTGATGCAGCAGCAGCAACAGTGATGCAGCAGCAGCAACAGCAGTAGTGATGCAGCAGCAGCAGCAGTGATGCAGCAGCAGCAACAGTGATGCAGCAGCAGCAGCAGTAGCAGCAGCAGCATTGATGCAGCAGCAGCATTGATGCAGCAGCAGCAGTGATGCAGCAGCAGCAGTGATGCAGCAGCAGCAGCAGTGATGCAGCAGCAACAGCAGTAGTGATGCAGCAGCAGCAGTGATGCAACAGCAGCAACAGTGATGCAGCAGCAGCAGCAGTGATGCAGCAGCAGCAACACTGATGCAGCAGCAGCAGCAGTGATGCAGCAGCAGCAGTGATGCAGCAGCAGCAGTGATGCAGCAGCAGCAGTGATGCAGCAGCAGCAGCAGTGATGCAGCAGCAGCAGTGATGCAGTAGCAGCAGCAGCAATGATGCAGCAGCAGCAGCAATGATGCAGCAGCAGCAGTGATGCAGCAGCAGCAGCAGTGATGCAGCAGCAGCAACAGTGATGCAGCAGCAGCAGTGATGCAGCAGCAGCAGCAGTGATGCAGCAGCAGCAGCAGCAGCAGTGATGCAGCAGCAGCAGCAGCAGTGATTCAGCAGCAGCAGCAGCAGTGATGCAGCAGCAGCAGCAGTGATGCAGCAGCAGCAGCAGTGATGCAGCAGCAGCAGCAGTGATGCAGCAGCAGCAGCCTGATGCAGCAGCAGCAGCAGTGATGCAGCATAGCAGCAGTGATGCAGCAGCAGCAGTGATGCAGCAGCAGCAGTGATGCAGCAGCAACAGTGATGCAGCAGCAGCATGATGATAGCAGCAGCAGCATGATGCAGCAGCAGCAGTGATGCAGCAGCAGCAAGTGATGCAGCAGCAGCAGTGATGCAGCAGCAGCAGCAGTGATGCAGCAGCAGCAGCAGTGATGCAGCAGCAGCAGCAGTGATGCAGCAGCAGTGATGCAGCAGCAGCAGCAGTGATGCAGCAGCAGTGATGCAGCAGCAGCAGTGATGCAGCAGCAGCAGCAGCAGTGATAGCAGCAGTAGCAGCAGTGATGAGCAGCAGCAGCAGCAGTGATGCGCAGCAGCAGCAGCAGTGATGCAGCAGCAGCAGCAGCAGCAGTGATGCAGCAGCAGTGATGCAGCAGCAGCAGCAGTGATGCAGCAGCATGCAGCAGCAGCAGTGATGCAGCAGCAGCAGCATGATGCAGCAGCAGCAGCATGATGCAGCCAGCAGCAGTGATGCAGCAGAGCAGCAGTGATGCAGCAGCAGCACGTGATGCAGCAGCAGCAGCAGTGATGCAGCAGCAGCAGCAGCAGTGATGCAGCAGCAGCAGCAGCAGTGATGCAGCAGCAGCAGCACAGCATGCAGTGTATGCAGCAGCAGCAGTGATGCAGCAGCAGCAGCAGTGATGCAGCAGCATGAGTCGCACAGTGATGCAGCAGCAGCAGTGATGCAGCAGCAGCACCAGCAGCAGCAGTGATGCAGCAGCAGCAGTGATGCAGCAGCAGTGATGCAGCAGCAGCAGCAGTGATGCAGCAGCAGCAGCAGCAGTGATGCAGCAGCAGCAGTGATGCAGCAGCAGCAGTGATGCAGCAGCAGCAGTGATGCAGCAGCAGCAGTGATGCAGCAGCAGCACCAGCAGCAGCAGTGATGAGGCAGCAGCAGCAGTGATGCAGCAGCAGTGATGCAGCAGCAGCAGCAGTGATGCAGCAGTGATGCAGCAGCAGCAGCAGTGATGCAGCAGCAGCAGCAGTGATGCAGCAACAGCAGCAGTGATGCAGCAGCAGCAGCAGTGATGCAGCAACAGCAGTGATGCAGCAGCAGCAGCAGTGATGCAGCAGCAGCAGCAGCAGTGATGCAGCAGCAGCAGCAGTGATGCAGCAGCAGCAGCAGCAGTGATGCAGCAGCAGCAGTGATGCAGCAGCAGCAGTGATGCAGCAGCAGCAGCAGTGATGCAGCAGCAGCAGCAGTGATGCAGCAGCAGCAGCAGCAGTGATGCAGCAGCAGCAGCAGATGCAGCAGCAGCAGTGATGCAGCAGCAGCAGCAGCAGTGATGCAGCAGCAGCAGCAGCAGCAGTGATGCAGCAGCAGCAGCATGATGCAGCAGCATAGCAGCAGTGATGCAGCAGCAGCACGGCATGATGCAGCAGCAGCAGCAGCAGTGATGCAGCACAGCAGCAGTGATGCAGCAGCACGCAGCAGTGATGCAGCAGCAGCAATGATGCAGCAGCAGCAGTGATGCAGCAGGCAGCAGCAGCAGCAGTGATGCAGCAGCAGCAGTGATGCAGCAGCAGCAGCAGTGATGCAGCAGCAGTAGCAGCAGTGATGCAGCAGCAGCAGCAGCAGTGATGCAGCAGCAGCAGCGGCAGTGATGCAGCAGCAGCAGCAGCAGTGATGCAGCTGCAGCAGGAGTGATGCAGCAGCAGCAGCAGCAGTGATGCAGCAGCAGCAGTGATGCAGCAGCAGCAGCAGCAGTGATGCAGCAGCAGCAGCAGCAGTGATGCAGCAGCAGCAGCAGTGATGCAGCAGCAGCAGCAGCAGTGATGCAGCAGCAGCAGCAGCAGCAGTGATGCAGCAGCAGCAGCAGCAGTGATGCAGCAGCAGCAGCAGTGATGCAGCAGCAGCAGCAGTGATGCACAGCAGCAGTGATGCACAGCAGCAGCAGTGATGCAGCAGCAGCAGCAGTGATGCAGCAGCAGCAGCAGTGATGCAGCAGCAGCAGCAGTGATGCAGCAGCAGCAGTGATGCAGCAGCAGCAGCAGTGATGCAGCAGCAGCAGCAGTGATGCAGCAGCAGCAGCAGTGATGCAGCAGCAGCGCAGCAGTGATGCAGCAGCAGCAGTGAGCAAGCAGCAGCAGTGATGCAGCAGCAGCAGTGAGCAGCAGCAGAGCAGTGATGCGCAGCAGCAGCAGCAGCAGTGATACAGCAGCAGCAGCAGTGATGCAGCAGCAGCAGCAGTGATGCAGCAGCAGCAGCAGCAGTGATGCAGCAGCAGCAGCAGTGATGCAGCAGCAGCAGTGATGCAGCAGCAGCAGTGATGCAGCAGCAGTAGCAGCAGCAGCAGCAGCAGCAGTGATGCAGCAGCAGCAGCAGTGATGCAGCATCAGCAGCAGCAGCAGTGATGCAGCAGCAGCAGCAGCAGCAGTGATGCAGCAGCAGCAGCAGCAGTGATGCAGCAGCAGCAGCAGCAGTGATGCAGCAGCAGCGCCCTCTGTCTCAGCTGACACAGACGTCACATATTAATGGCGTCTGCTACATCACTCTTAAGAACTGCAGGTACACTTTATATATTGTTGATTGTGTTGTAGTGGTTGACCAGTGACTGTGACCTTTGACCTCCATGACCACCTTGAGACCAGTTAGAGTAATCTGACTGTTAGTTACTAACACAGGTGTGTGTGTCCGGGTCACTCCAGACTACGTGACCTATATGTACCCTTAATAAGTAACCTTATTTTAACTAACTATTACAACACTTTTGGATTAATTACAGTTGTTATTGATGGTAACATAAGTGGGATAAGCCGGAAAAAAGGTCAGACAAAGTGACTTATTAGCCGAAATGGCATTCGTAATACATGGCTTTCTTTTGGACAGTCTGTGGCCCTTTTGGGTTTAGCGCTTAAATTATAATTTTTGGACATTGGGTTGTATCAAATTGTCCTTTGACCGTGACTGTATTAAACTATAACCAAGTTTGTTATAAACTAACATGTATATACAACCAAAAATATTTTTATTTGTTTATTGGGATGTTGATGAATGTGTGTGAATGTTAAGTTGCTGTGACCTTAAGTGTTTCTCAAGGCAGGTTAATTGATGCCGGCGAGGGGCTCTTGATCCAAGGAATTGGACCTGACCTTTCCTTCTTGGATCGAACCTGGATGCATCCCGTTTCCCCCAGGCATTGTATGATCCCTGTGGGTTTAGCGCCCTTTTCATCACAAGAGTAATGTGACACTTCAAGGAATGTACCTTGATATTGTTGAAGGGCTCTTGATCTAATAGTAGCTGCCCTCTCCTACCCTGAATCAAATCTGATTACCTCTCACTTTGACCCTTTTTTTGGGTCATCTTTGATAATTTACACGAATGTCACCAAGTACGACAATTATAATCACCTGAAATGTATAATTGTACTTGTGTACATGTACTTAAATGAGCTTACTTCCTGAGGCACTATTATCTCTACAGGTTTACTGCTTCCTTGTAATACAATAATAAAATAGTAAATAATGATGGGCTAAAGTTAGTGGCTACAACTAAAGGGGTCATTAGTTTACATTTGACAGTACATACAGATAGTTTAATGTTTTTATGCACACTATACCCATCCTGTGGGTGGTAGTCAAAAGATTACAGAGGTAAATAATGGGTCCAGGGACTGGACTCCAAAGTTTTGATAGCTGAGCAAGTTACAGAGGTAATGAACTCGTAATTACAAAGTTAATGAACTCACAATTACAAAGTTAATGAACTCACAATTTATACACATACACAGTAAGCATTTTGTGCACAAATTATTATTTTGGGAGATAGCAAAAATAGCACATTTTGATTGCAAAACACACCTGAGCCAATCAACACTTAGTTTGTCATGTTACATGCCTGGGCAAATATAATGTGCCAGTACTGATGGTACATCTACTATTAGAGAACACTATACTACTATACTATACTGTTTGTTAATTCATTGCAAGCTAGGCACGCCATCATTGCTATGCCTGAATTATAGAGGAAAAGATCCACGTTTCCTGTTTGGAAATGCTTCATTTCATTTTCTGTTGGTGCCCACATTTTGGAAGTACAGTACTGGTGTTTCCTCCTTGAACACTGGGAAGTGTGGCTCGGTATAGTATAGACTGTGCTGACAGGTAACTCCAACAACATCACTTGGAGCAACATCCACATTGTTAAATTATTATTGAGAATTTGATAGTATCTTAAATTTTCACATCAGAACGTGGATTTCAGAATTTATCAGTAAGTTATAGCAGTAGGTATAAAAGAAATGGACTAAGATGAATAAAAATGTTAGGTGTCAAGTTATTTAACATGGTACTTATTGGTTAAGAATGGATATTTATCCAAATAGCCAAAACTGACCAATTTGGGACCATTTAGTGTAGTACTGTATATACTCTTGTATAGCATACTCTTGTAATAGCTTGCATTCATGAATAACTCAAAGATTCTCACATTGGTTTGATATTATTGCTATTTAACAATGATTTTTTGCAGGTGTCAATCAGTATGAAATGAGTGGGCTGTCAAGGAAACGTAGTCATGCTGAGACATTAGTGTCAACAGTAGATGACAAGAAAGATTATAATCTTGCCCCATTTACACCATTGAAGAAACCAGTAAGTTTCCTAATTAAAGTTTCAAGTAAACTGTCTGATCAGTCAGTGCCGACTGATCAGACAGTTTAAACATACACACAAACTTCCAAATTCACAGCATTTATGTCCATAGAATTCCAGCAAATGCAGATTGCTTTGGTCCCAATCTTGTTATAACCCTTCAGCTTGCAATAAGCTCTCAAAACCCTAGCATAATTTCTTAGTTTATTTACTACAAAATAATTTAAAATTTATTTTAAGTATATTTTGGTAATACAATGATCCATGTGGGTTTAGCACTTAGTTTTGATTGTAATAATAATAATTGGTAATACACTAGTGATGTATGCAGATTAAAAGTAGACATGGAAAACCATAATTTCTTAATTTATTTACTACAAAGAAATTGAAAATTTAGTTTAAACACATTATTGGAATGAGTCGATGTATGAAAATTAAAAGTAAAATTGAAAAACTAAATTTTTGGCTCTTCATTAAAGCTTCTGCATTAACTAGATCCATTGCTATATAAGAGTCACTACACACTATACTCTCATCTTGGTTTTCGGAGGATGAAACCTCCAGCATTTCACACACTTCTGCATTAATGTTTTAGCATTTTTTTTTTTTAAAGTTTTATCAGTACAGTACTGTACTCAGAAGAAATGTCATGGATTTTTGTATCTGAAATATTTTTTTTGTAGATCTTTCTTTCAACACACCGGCCGTATCCCACCGAGGTGGGGTGGCCCAAAAGGAAAAATGAAAGTTTCTCCTTTTACATTTAGTAATATATACAGGAGAAGAGGTTACTTGCCCCTTGCTCCCAGCATTTTAGTTGCCTCTTACAACACGCATGGCTTACAGAGAAAGAATTCTGTTCCACTTCCCCATGGAGATAAGAGGAAATACACAAGAACAAGAATTAGTAAGAAAATAGAAGAAAACCCAGAAGGGTGTGTTTATATATATTCTTGTAAATGCATGTGTAGTGTAACCTAAGTGTAAGTAGAAGTAGGTAGATGTACCCAATATCTTTCATGTTTGAGATAGAAAAAAGACACCAGCAATCCTACCATCATGTAAAACAATTACAGGCTTTCATTTTACACTCACTTGGCAGGACAGTAGTACCTCCATGGGCAGTTACTGTCTACCAACCTACTACATAGGATAGAAAATATTTTTTTTTTTTTTTTTTTTTCAACAAGTCGGCCGTCTCCCACCGAGGCAGGGTGACCCAAAAAAAGAAAGAAAATCCCCAAAAAGAAAATACTTTCATCATCATTCAACACTTTCACCACACTCGCACATTATCACTGTTTTTGCAGAGGTGCTCAGAATACAACAGTCTAGAAGCATACACATATAAAGATACACAACATATCCCTCCATTATGTTTCCATTAAATAGTGTAAGGAATAATATCATGATTCATAGCACTAAGATGGTGCTTCATAATCTTGATATTTGCATTTCTTTTTACACTCTGCAAGATAATTTGTTTTTATCCAGACGAAGATAAGTGCATCTATTTTTTTTCAACACTCCAACTGTCTCCCACTGAGGCAAGGTGACCCCTAAAAGGAAAGAAACATTTTCACAATCGTTCAACACTGTTACCATCATTCACACACATTCACAGTTCAGATGTCACTCCAAACAGCAAATATCCCAAAATCCTCCTTTAAAGTGCAGGCATTGTACTTCCCACAATAGTTGTAACAAAGCCCTGTACAGTATACACACAGTACATAACATAAGAACATAAGAAAGGAGGAACACTGCAGGAGACCTGTTGGCCCATACTAGGCAGGTCCTTTACAATTCATCCCACTAACAAAACATTTGCCCAACCCAATTTTCAATGCCACCCAAGAAATAAGCTCTGATGTGAAAGTCCCACTCAAATCCAACCCCTCCCACTCATGTACTTATCCAACCTAAATTTGAAACTACCCAAAGTCCCAGCCTCAATAACCCAACTAGGTAGACTGTTCCACTCATCAACTACCCTATTTCCAAACCAATACTTTCCTATGCCCCTTTCTAAATCTAAACAAACTAATTTAAATATTAATGGGGGTTTTCCTTTTGGAAGCACCTCAAGACCTTATTAAATCCCCTTTTTTAAACCCTATTTCCCTACACATTTCGATCAGGTCCCCCCCATTTTTCGTCAACAATGAATGAATTTAAAGAGTTTAAAATCTTTCTTCAAAAGGGAAAGATTTCTAATGCTTTATTAATTTAGACCTACCTGAATGTTTGCTAACGAATTTAGTCCATTTGTAATATAACCCAAAACTGAGCGCATAATCTAGGTGAGCCCTTACTAATGATTAAAAAGCGCAGTATACCTCTGGACTTCTGTTGCTTACACTTTTTTGATAAAAATCCCTAATCTATTTGCCTTATTACTCGCTTGGCTTTGCTGTCTTGGTTTAAGGTTGGCTCACCATAACCCCCAAGTCCTTTTCACAATCTGTTTTGGCTAAGTTCTACATCTTTTAACTTATAAGTGCGGGGTTTTAATGGCACTCCCAAGCTTCAAAACCCCCCCCCCCCCTTGCATTTTTTACATTAAAACTGTTCTGCACTTTTGACCAAGAAAGAGTTTTTTTAAATCCCCTGAATTTCCATAACATCTATTTTTGAATAAATTTACCTACCTACTTTGTGTCATCGGCAATTTGCTCCCATATCATAGTAATTCCCTCATCAAGATATTGTATATATTATAAACAACAACGGGCCCAAGATGACCTGTGGAACCCACTTTTTTACGATCCCCCTCGGATTTAACCCCATTTAGGGGACACCCCGCTTCCTGTCAGTGAGCCAGACCGACCCACGAGAGCATTTTTCCCCCAATACCATGAGCTCCACTTTTTTAACATCTATGGTGGGGAACCTACAAAACCTTACTAAAATCTAAGTAAAAAATAAATTCTTTTATCGGGGTCAAAAACCTAAAAAAGCTTTACTAAAGAAAGTTAAAAAATTAGTTAGACAAGCCCGGCCTCTTGGAACCATGCTGAGTATCTTTAATCAAGCTATGCTTATCGAGATGGCTTCTTATAATCTCAGCTATAATTGACTCTAGAAATTTTTCCCTACAATTGGGTCAGGCTTATTGGGTTTGGAAATTTTGACGGTAACGACTTGCCCCCGTTTAAAAAATAGAACTACATTGCCATTTCCACATACAGACATTACACCTGTTTAAAAGAGATAAATTAAAAATATTAGTTAGGTTCCGAGTTCCATTTTCTTTCCTTAAGAACCCTTTGAAAAAACCTCACGGCCCCCGGGCGACTTTTTTTGTTTCAGAGTAAAGGGAGGGGTTTTTAGGCCCCCTTTAAAAACCAAACATTAAAAACAGGAACGGACGGTAAGCTGTCCAATATAAAAAAAGATTTAAAACAAAAATAAAAATAGCTGAGCTTCTTTTAAGGGTTATTAATATAATATTCAAGAGGTTGCTAGAGTTTCAGTAAATAAAACCTTCAAATCATTATGAAGGTTGATTTGGGGTCAGTCAAACAAACGGGCTACCACAGGGATAAATTTCTTTTTTTGGGGAAAATTTGGGGTGTCACGCTCCTTTGCAGATATCCGAACTACTACAAGCAGTTTAAAACAGGAAGTGTTTTTGGGGTATCCCCAAAATTTAGGAAAATCTGTGGATAAAACACAAGGGATTAAAAGGGATAACACAAACTGCTTTCTAGAAAACCCGGGAAGTTTTCTACAACAGTGGGAACTAAAAAGTCCGGGCTGAATGGATGCCTTGAACGGCCATTAGTCACAAACTAAGGCTGGAGGTGATGTCCTGGTAGTCAGTAAATGGGGCTGATATGCGTCCGGGAACGTAATGGTAACTGGGGTGCTGTCCTGGGAACAAAAGGGAAGCTGGAGATACGTCCTGGTAGACAGTAAAGGTGAAGTGGAGATTTTCCGGTAGTCGGGAATTATACGCAGGAAGGAAAACAAATAAAAGACCTCAAGAGGGCGAGCCATAGTAGGGGAAAAAAGTGTAGTCAAAATAAAATAAACCAAAATTGCAAACCCAAAAAAACCCCAGGAAATAGCAAACAAGGGACTCCAATAGCAATAGTGAGGGTAAATTACCCAAAAACAATGGGGGAGCTCCATTGTTGGTGCAAGGGGGAAGGGAAAAAGACAGGGAAACATGCACCAACAGGGAATACGTCACAGAAACCCAAGCAAACGGAAACAAACCTGTGCACAACTATGCACTTGGTATCGCCCGGGAGGGAAATCTGGAAAAAAAATGGACATGAAAATATGACCACCCTAGAAAAAGTCACCCAATGACAACAGGAAAATGCAAACTCCCCTTTCCGTAAGCTTTTTTTACCCTGAAATTGGGACCTCTTCAGTACAGGAAAGACTGGCATAACTTAAATTGCCAGGGATACCATTAAAGGGGGCAAAAAGAAACAAAAAATCCCGGGGCCCTGGGAAAACCCCGGGTAGCCCCCAGCCACAAGGGGGAGGTTTTTTGTGCCCGGGGAAAAAAAAAATGGCAGGGAAAAGGGAGAAAAGTACACCAAAACCAGTCATTCCGGGGTGGAACCCCAGTCGATGGCTCCACTCCAAACCCAAAAATCAGATACAATGCCGAAAAAAAAAACCCCCCCCAGTACCAACAATACCACCAGTCGATAAAATTTTCTTTTCAAATATACAGGGGCTAAAGCCGCAATAAACAACAAAATACCTTTATCCTGGATGCTTGCAGAGGCAAAGGCAATGTTCGCGGGTTTCACGAGACCCCATAAAGGATCCTTTGGGCAACGAAATATGGATCCCAGGTTACAACCCTTTCAATGTGACAGAGTGAAAAGGGAAAAGGGGGGGGTTGGCTGACATTGCGAGTCCTTTTTTGCACAGAACTGCTAAAGCCTCAAATGACGTAGGGAAGTTTTTTGCTAAAGGTCAAAAACCAAAAACCCAGTCATTGGGATCACAACCTCCGGGTGCAACACCCACAA